AAAACAATTAAAAAAGAGGAAGATACAATGGAGATTGAGAAGCAGCAATCAGTGAGAAAAAAAGAAAACCTAAAGGACAGCCCAGAGGGAGGGGCAGTGCCCTCAACACTCACAGGGAGGGCTGGTATGGTGCAGCCACAGCAGAAGTTCTGACACAGTTGGTCTCCTGATTTCCTAGGATTGCCAAATTGCAGGCTGGCCAGTGGATTAAAGCACTTGCAAGCAGGCGCAGGGTCCAGGGGTTCTAACCCTGGGCCTGCCGGGCCATCCCTACCGCCCCGGCACACTGAGAGGGTGAATCCCAGCTCTTGGGAGGCTGTAAACAGGTGGATCACTACGAGTCTGAGACCCTGAACAGCCTGTAGACCTTTCCCTAAAATACCAAAAAAAAAAGTGATGAGAGGGAGCAACCACCGAAGACTCAACAAGGGCCGCAGGTGACTCAGAATGTGAGCAAATCAAAGCACAGCCACCATCTCGGACGCCTCATCAAACACACCAAGTTCGTAGGGGACATGATCCGAGGTGTGCAGCTTCGCCCCCTCGGAGCAGCACGCCATGGAGCTGCTCGAGGTCCCCAAGGACAAACGCACCCCCAAGCTCATCAAGAAAAGGGTGGGGACGTACATCCTCGCCAAGAGGAAGCGTGAAGAGCTGAGCAACGTGCTGGCTGCCATGAGGAAGGCAGCTGCCTAGAAGGACTGAGCCCCTCTGGAATAAAGCTTTGCAGAAAGTTTAAAAAAAAAAAAAAAATAAGATGAGAGGTCCATCAGATAGCTCAGTGGACTAAAGTGCCTGCTTAGGTAGAAGCGGAAGCAGGGACTGGGGTTCCATCCCCGGAGTGCTGTGCCGGTGCCACTCCCCCACTCCCTACCTGGCACTAAGACTGTAAATGAGACTAGGTGTGGTGGCACGTGCCTGTAATCCCAGCGTTTGGGAGGCTCAGGAAGATCACTATGAGTCCGATCTGTGTAGTGAGACTCTGTACTAAAATATATTTTTAAAGAAAGTTAATTTTAAAAAAGCCGTGAGAAAAGGCATTTTTGCTTTTTGTTTTTTTGGATCTTAGAGGAAAAGCAGTCTTTTTCAGTTTCATCTCAATTCTTTTTTTCCATTTGACCTTTCTTTTCAGCCCCATTTAAAATGAATTACCTGGA